AGGTACCCCTGATGATGGGGTGGTCAGGTGCAGAGGGGAAACAAGAAATGTGTTAGGATTGGGATTTCTGGCCAAAGTGATCCTGTCCCTCTTCCCCAGGCTGACCCCCAACAGGTTCGGGACATCTGAGCTTCAGAGGAGCCATTCCTCTCTTCCTGGGCAGAACCTAGGAAGGTGGCTGAGACTCCAGGGAAGAAATGTCCCCAAAGTGTATCCGGGCAGATGGGGCTGGGACAGACAGCTCTCAGAGGGCCAAGGAATTTGTGTACAGGGGACACCCAGGTGTCCCAAGAAGGAAGAGGACCCAGGAGGAGCTGTGGGAGTGAGTGTGATTCAGCAGGTGTGGGAGCGGGACCCGGAGCCCAGAGCAGATGAGACATTGCCAAACTCAGCAGAGGATAGTGGACGTGGAGTGCCCCAGCTCCTCCCGCTGGCAGGGAGGGGCACTTAGATGCAGCCGCAGGGAAATGTTGGAGTGAGGGAGGGGGAAGAATCTCAGCTGGCCAAAACCACATTTCTTTGACTTCAGCCCATGGAAATGCCTAATGGAAGCGAAATTTACTCAGAGAAATAAAGCATGGCCTGTTTTGCAAATATCTGCGTTTGTGTCGTCCGTTCCTTCCCACCAGCAGTGACGAGCAGGCAGCCACCTCAGGAACCGCCCCACCCTCCCACCCTACTGCTGACCTGCAGGGGGTCACCTCTTTCCTCCACGTGCCTACGGCCGGCTGTCTCCCATGACCCCTTTCTACTGCAGCCAATGCCACCACCTCCAGGCTGCAACTCCACAGCCCACCTGACCGTGCGCTACGACCCCAGCCCTCAGGTGCTGGCCGCCGCCGCCTCCTGTCCTCCTGGGTCTGAAGGCCAGCTGCTTCAAAGCCACGCCAGCTCAGCCCCACGCTCTCTTGACTCGTGTCCTGGAAATCCCTCCTTCCTCTCTGGCTCCTGCGGCCACCCGCTGGCCTCACCCGTAATGCTCTTGACATCTGTTTCTGGTCATGCTAAGTTTCTGCCTATGTTTCTCCTTTCCTCCAGATGCACACGTGGCAGTGTGTGGCTACTGTGACGGGCCTGCCAAGTGGAGGAGGAGGAGACGGGGAGAGAAGGGGCTGCAGGGCTTCCTCCCCGGCCAAGAGCTGTCGCTTCTCCCTTCCCCCGCACCTCTCCCGGGATGCTCAGGGAAGTCACTCATCCAGCCCGTGCCATTAGAGCACGGCTGCGTGCCAGATGCTGCTAATACACAGATACACCGTCACACGCAGTCCTCTGTTGAAACCAAGCCAAGACTCACAGCGGGGAAATGACAAGCCCGGATCATACTATAGGAAAAGTGATGCTGTGTGCCCTGAGCCAGGAGCTGGTCTAGGGAAAGGGTGCACAGGGGTCGGAACCCGCAGCTGGCTCCAGATTCCATACACCCCGGCGTCTGAGCACGCACCGCTCGCTCAGGCTTCCCCAGCCCTGTCACGTGCTCTTAGTATTCCCTGGGCAACTGCTGCTAATTTCATGTTTTCTGCCCCACTGCCACTTCTCCATGGGTCCTGATTTGTGGTTTCTAAAAATAATCATGCCTCTGTCTGCGGCCCTGGATTCCCTGAAGTCCTCAGTGGGGGAAGAGAGAAGGGCTTTTGCATCAGATGTTACAGATAAGGACAATATGGGGAGCACAAAAGGCTAAACAACTTACCCAGCACCCTCCCTCCTGTCCTCCAGCCAAACAAGGGACTCTCCTGGGCAGAGCTGGCACAGAAGCCCGCCTCCTGGCACCCCGGCCTGCTGGCTCCCCGATGTCTAAGGAAAGCCTTGGGGGAGCAGAGCAACACCCTGGTAGACCCTTTATCCAAGCTGGACTCCCCAACTGGCGGCCCTCCTCTCTCCTCTCTGCTGTTGAATCTCTCGCCAACTTCAAAGTCCACTGGGGACATGCCTCCTGCTCCAGGATGACATCTTCATGATTCCCCCAGTTTCTAGGCGTTCCATGTCCTCCCCTGGACCACCATACGGGCCCTTCCCTGCCTCCAGCTTCACCCTCTGCAGTCTGTGCTCTTCCTGGCCACAGAGTGATCTGCCTCTTAAAGGTGCCCCAGCACCTAAGAGATCAACCCTAGACTTGGCCTGACATTCCGTTCCATCCTTTCCCTGTCTCAAACCCCATCCTGCCCTCTCTGCCTCCCTCCCAGACATTTATCTAACCTACTGGCCTCTCCCACTGCCCAGAGCATAGACCACACTGGGTCACCTGCAACCCTCTCCTCCCATCGGCTTCTTTCCCCGCGCCAAGTGTCTTTCAAACTCCTATTCATCCTCCAAGGCCCTTCCCAGATGGCTCCTCCACTAAGAAGCCTTCCCAGATCACCACATCAGAATTCTCTGCTCCACTCACCACACTCCCATGTGACAGAGGAGCTCCTGTGCAGAGCTTCTTCCCAGGAAGACTGGACACTTCCAGACACAACCTAACCTAGCCGGTGAAATGGGTGCAGCCCACCTATCCAGGCCGCAGGTCATGGTCAAGCTAAATACCTGCATCAGCCCTGCCCCTGATTTTAACTCAGGTTCTCATCTAATCACCCTTTTCCCCATCAATCTTCCCTGTATTTGCCCCAGGCCACTCAACAAAGCAATGGCAACGCGGGGGTGAGGTTGCCCTGCCTGGGCACACTCCTTGTCAGGGGTCTTTCATTTCCCACGCCGCTGCTCCTCTTGACCACCCTCTCCTTCCCCTTCCTCATTGCCTAATGTTTCAGGCAGAAAACATCATTTTCAAAATATGTAACTGAAAGGGCTTGCCCAGAGGTGGCTACACGGGCATTCAACCAGCTTGCTGAAGTCACCCAGACTAAGCATGGCAGATCTCCCGGTCTCAGTTCCCTGAACTAATGTGGCCGTGTGATCTGCCCACCTCGGCCTCCGAGAGTGCTGGGATTACAGGCATGAGCCACTGTGTGTGCCACTTTTTATTTATTTATTTATTTATTTTTGAGACCCAGAGTCTTGCTCTGTCGGCAGGCTGGAGTGCAGTGGCGCTATCTCTGCTCACTGCAACCTCTGCCTCCCAGGTTCAAGCAATTCTCGTGCCTCAGCCTCCCAAGTAGCTGGGACTACAGGCACGTGCCACCACGCTCAGCTAATTTTTGTATTTTTAGTAGAGACGGGGTTTCACCATGTTGGCCAGGATGGTCTTGATCTCCTGACCTCATGATCTGCCTGCCTCAGCCTCCCAAAGTGCTGGAACTACAGGCATGAGCCACCGCGCCCAGCCGTGGGTCACTTTAAATAGCCTAGAGAGTCCAAATTGACAACATATTAGAAAGCCAGAGCCTTTTGTACAGCACAAACCGCCCATCCTTGTGCTGTACACGACAAAAGCCTGCAGGCTGGCACTCAGGGCAGCCTTGGTCCCGAGGCCCTGAGCTGGGATGCTGGTGGAGCCTGTTATGTACAAACAGACCCTGGCCCAAAAGCATGCTGGGAGATCGGTCCCCAGGGTTGCCTCTGACGTGGGAGCAGCCCCTTTGGCCAGAGCTGCATGACATTCAGGTGCAGTGGGGAGCCTCCCATCAATGACAGGTGAGCTCCGAGGAAATGGAGACCTGTCCACCCCTGTAAGGTGGGCTGCTGGGCTGGGCTGAGAAGTGGCAGTGGGGCAGAAAACATGACATTAGCAGCAGTTGCCCAGAGAATACTAAGAGCACGTGACAGGGCTGGGGAAGCCTGAGCGAGCGGTGCGTGCTCAGACGCCGGGGTGTATGGAATCTGGAGCCAGCTGCGGGTTCCGACCCCTGCGCACCCTTTCCCTAGACCAGCTCCTGGCTCAGGGCACACAGCATCACTTTTCCTATAGTATGATCCGGGCTTGTCATTTCCCCGCTGTGAGTCTTGGCTTGGTTTCAACAGAGGACTGCGTGTGACGGTGTATCTGTGTATTAGCAGCATCTGGCACGCAGCCGTGCTCTCATGGCATGGGTTGGATGAGTGACTTCCCTGAGCATCCCGGGAGAGGTGCGGGGGGAGGGAGAAGTGACAGTCCTGGCACAGGTGCAGATGGTTGGTTCTTGATAGCACACTTCTTCTACCTGGTGCCCAAAATGGCATTGCAACGCTTTAGGAATAACACAGAGCAGGATGCCCCATCAAGTCTGTTGGGAAATCAGGGCAGATCACTTTATTTATTTATTTAGAGACAGAGTTTCGCTCTTATCGCCCAGGCTGAAGTGCAGCGGTGCAATCTAGACTCACTGCAACCTCCGCCTCCCTGGTTCAAGCGATTCTCCTGCCTCAGCCTCCCAAGCAGCTGAGATTACAGGTGTGCGCCATCACATCCAGTTAATTCTGTATTTTTAGCGGAGATGGGGCTTCTCCATGTTGGTCAGGCTGGTCTGGAACTCCCGACCTTAGGTGATCCGCCGGCCTCGGCCTCCCAAAGCGCTGGGATTATAGGTGTGAGCCACCGCACCCGGCCTCGGAGGTCACTTTATTTATGTGAGTAGCCACCAGGCTGGCCTAGAGAGGCCAAACTTGACTGCATATTAGAAAGCCAGACCTGTCAAGCTGTTCCACCATGCAGTGGATTAGTGTGTGTTTTCCCGGAGAGAAGATTCGGCAGTTATCGTAATAATTAGACACAAAACATGAGACACGGTCCCCGGGGCAGGAGAGGGGGCTTTCGAGTGCCTCACTGGAGCGTAAGCGGCACAGGTGCTCAGCTTTGCGCCACACAGTAGGCACTCAGTAGATGCTGAGCGTGAGCGCGGCACTCACCGGGCAACCTGGCATCCTTACGTCCACCGCACGGGGTAGATTACCATCATCCCCATTTTACAGACAGGAAACCGAGGTGCAGAGATGTGGGGGCTTGCCCTAGGTCACAGCCAGAGAGCGAAATGGCAGACTCTGCCGGTTCCACTAACTCCAAGGTGCACGGGTTGTGTGAGCCGGGGGCTGGTTTCTGTGTGGGCAGAGGGAGCGGAGCAGAAAGAACCAGTCTGAATCGCCAAGAGGAGACAGCACTGTTTAATCATGCTGGACGGAAGGGCAGGGCATGGTCGGGGGGTGGTTGATAGCACCAGTCTTCCTGGCACTTGTGGGGCACTGTTCCTGTCATCCGGCCATGGAGCTACAGCTCCCTTGGCTGTGAGCACCAGAGACCACCCCCCAGCACCTCGGCCCCAGAGTCCGCAGGAGCACCAATGGGCAGAGGCCGCCTCCCTCTAGGGAGAAGAGCAGGCCACCTGGGTTTGGAAGGCTAGGGGGCCACTGGGCCACCCCACCCTGAGAGAAGGAACAGAAGGCCGCAGGTCCCTCCTTTGCCTCGGCCTCTCCCAGTGACAGAATATAGCCTGCTTCAGCTCCCCAGACCTGCTGAAGGCTCCAAAGCCTGGGGCTTCTGCCCTGGCCCTTGGCCTGCAGGTGTTTGTAGAGGCAACACCAGGCTGGGGCAGGGCTCTGAGGTGAGCAGCTGTCCACTGGGGCCTTAGCACCTTGATAAAGCCTGCAGAGTCAGGGCACTGGGCCAGGGACAGGGGAAGGAGGGGCAGAGAGCACCTGGGGACAGACATCAGCGTCTGAGCTGGAGGTCCTGGGGAAACTGGGGCTCGGATGCCTTTGGTGGAAGGAGGTGAGCAAGGCCCTGGCAGATCCCTGGGAGGGGGCAGGAAGGGGATCTCAGTGAGGTGGGCACGTTTCCTCACAGGCTGCCAAATCAGCTGTGGGGAGAGCTATGGGTGTGGGCTCCATTCCTCGGGGTCCCTTCACCCCCAAAAGCCCCCACACTCCTGAGTCCTCTACTCACAGAACCCTTGACCTGGACAAGGCCCCCTGGGGTTTGCTTTAACGATGGACATTGGGCAGGTGGATGAGGAACGGGGAGGGGATACCTGCCCCTGCCACCGGGACCCCGTCCTGTCTGCCTTGGGGAACAGTGGGTTACGGAGGACCAGCAGCACCTGAACACCCAGAACACAGACCCGTGTGAGCTGTGGATCTGCTTCAAAACCTGCGTACACATCTCTCCCTGCCTGGCTGGACTGGCCGGTCACTGAGGTAGGGGCAGGGCCTGTGTCTGACTCGCTCACCCTTCCCGGGACCCAGCACAGAGTGAGTGCTCGGTGTTTGATGAGTGAATAAATGAACGGTGGCTGTGGCAGTGCAGGTGTGAGCAAGAGAAGAGGGGAAGGGGCAAAGAGAACACAGTACATGGAGCCCTGGAGGGATGAGAGGATTTAAGAATGTTGGGAGAGGCCAGGCGCAGTGGCTCATGCCTGTAATCTCAGCACTTTGGGAGGCTGAGGCAGGTGGATCACCTGAGATCAGGAGTTCGAGTCCAGCCTGGCCAACAAGGTAAAATCCCATCTCTACTAAAAATACAAAAATTATTCGGGCATGTTAGCAGGCGCCTGTAATCCCAGCTACTAAGGAGGCTGAGGCAGGAGAATCACTTGAACCCAGGAGGCAGAGGTTGAAGTGAACCCAGATCACACCACTGCACTCGAGCCTGGGCAACAGAGCAAAACCCTGTCTCAAAGAAAAAAAAAAAAAGTTGGGAATATTCTAGAATGTGTGGAGGATTCTAGAATGTTCAGAAAGTACTAGAATATTCAGAAAGTTTTAGAACCTGGTTGCTCCAGTGTGGTTCATAGACTGATAGCTAGCATCAGCATCACCCAGGAATGTGTTAGCAATGCAGAATCCTGGACCCACTCAGACCTACTGAGTCAGAATCCACATTTAACACGAACCCCGGGTGATTCACGTGCACATCCAAGTTTGAGAAGTGCTGGGCTATGAGGCTGGAAAAGTTCTAGAATATTTAGGTTAGAAAGTTTCTTAAAATAGGTCCAAGAGAGAAGAGAGGAGCAGAAATAGTCTGGGAGGGACGGCGGCAGCCAAGAAAGAAACAGGGTCCTTCCAGAACGCCAGGTCCCCGGGGACCTCCCTGGCGTTCCCGCTTCACCGCGATGCAAACTGACCCTAGCAGGGGACAGGGCCAGCCCCTGAGCTCTCCGGCCGAGAGGGTGGCCCAGACGGAGGCCCTCAATCGTCCCCAGCCTTGATGAGGTGACCGCTGAAAGTGATGTAGGTGTCGAAGTTGTTGCTGTAGATGGCATTCTCGCGCTGGCTTTTGAAGAGCCGCACCCAGACGCGGTCCCCGGAGGCCAGGTCCAGCATCACGCTCTGGCTCTGCATGATGCTGCGGGCGTTGGGCTGCGCATACAGGACCACGACCTCCTTCTCATTGTGCATGATGTGCACGTACGTGTCCTTGTAGTTCCAGCTGTGCACGTTGAGGCTGAAGAAATAGATGCCGCGCAGGGGAGCGGCGAAGTGGCCGGCACTCATGTCGAAGCACCCATCGAGGTTCACGAAGACCTTTTCGAAGAGCAGCGTCTTGAAGTCCTCGCCGCTGTGCAGGGCCTCCTTGCGGCCCACCGAGAAGGCGAAGAAGTGCTTCTGGCAAGGGGGGCCGGGGCTGCCCATCTCCCCCTTGTCGCCCTTGCTGCCCTGCGGACCAGGCTCTCCTTGAGGACCATCCATGCCCCTGGACCCTGGGATACCCTTTGGGCCTGGGTCCCCTTTGTCACCTGCGGGGATAAGGAGGGGACAGTTCAGGGTGGACATCTGAGCCTTCTCCAGGGAGGTACCCACACTCATCTGTGAAGGTTCTGCCCCTGTCCCGGCCCAGAGAAGAAGCCAGGATTTATTTAGCACCTGCTATATGCCAGGCACTGCCTTCCCAAATGGCTACCTAAAGAAAACATGGCCCAATGTGGTGGCTCATGTCAGTAATCTCAGCACTTTGGGAGGCCAAGGCAGGCAGATCATGAGGTCAAGAGATTGAGACCATCCTGGCCAACATGGTGAAACCCCGTATCTATTAAAAATAAAAAAATAAAAAATAAATAGCTGGGCGTGGTGGCGTGCACCTGTAGCCCCAGCTACTCGGGAAGCTGAGGCAGGAAAATCACGTGAACCTGAGGGGCGGCGGTTGCAGTGAGACAAGATCGTGCCACTGCACTCCACACTGTTTTTGAGACTCCGTTTCAAAAACAGAAAAGAAAACATCATGACCATCTTCACTTCACAGAGAGGTTAAGTGACTCCCCCAGGGCCACACAGTGCAGGAGCAGAAGAGGCAGGACTTAAAATGTGCTCTGTCCCCAGGGCGACTTGGCGTCCCTGCACCCATCAGGGAGGGTCCGACTGTTGTCTCTGGGATGCCAGGCCCAGACCCCCACCCCAGGGTCACGGCGCCATAGTCCAGGCTGGTGGGGATGTGGGGCGTGCTGGAATGCACTTTGGGTTTCTTACCCAGGGAAGAAACCAAGAAAAATACCTTCGCCCACCTGGAGGAAAAGCCCAGGTTAGGAGCCAGGAAGCCCTTGGTTGGCCGTCCTGCCCCGTGTGACCTGGGGCACTCCACGGCTGGGGTCTCGGTTTTCTGGTCTGTGTTTTACAGAGGATGATGTCCATCTCACAGAGGTGGTTGTGACCCCTCAACAAAACGTCCTGTGGGAAAGCACTTTGCAACCTCTGCAAATAAGAGGCCGAGCAGTTTGCCCAGCACAGCCGGCCCGTCCCGACCTGCTCTGAGGTCTGGCAGCGTGTGCAATGGCCCCCAGCCAGGCACGGCCCTTAGTCCAGGCTGCTTTCAATGTAAGAGAAGCTGGTGGCCGCTCACCCCTGGAGGGACCCGACCTCACATAGCTCCCTGCCACCTGTCACAGGGCCTGGAGTCACACCAGCAATTGCACCCTTGCATGGGCTAGAAGGCCCTGTGTTTTCCACAGGTGGGGGACAGGGCAGAAAGGAGGGCACAGTCCCTTGGGGCAGAAGCCCAGAGAGGGGAGCAGGGCAAGTCCACAGCTCTGCAGAGGTCCGGGCCAAGGCCTCACTGGAGAGCCGCCCCTCACCTGCACAGCCCCAGACCGTGTGCAGAACGCTGGACAGCTCAGCGCGAGAGAGGGAAGGAGCGGAGGTGGCTAGGAGGAGGGGGCTATCTTCTTTTGACTAATAAGGTGGCAGGCTCAGGGCTGGGGAGAGAGACCAGCCTGACCTACTGGGCAAGGGAGCCAAAGAGTTGAGGCTGGGACCCAGGACTCCCAAAGCCAGCCCAGGGCCCCTCAGCCATGGCAGCCAACCCAGCTCCCAGCAGGCTGCTGAGCCGGGACCAGGAGCAGTGACCCCGTCTTTGCGGAGGGCAGTGAGAAGGGGCCATCAGCAGCCAGGCACCCCTCCAACCCCATGCAGAGGGCGAAGCAGGCCCTGGGGAAGCTGGGTGGGAGAGGGCTGTGAGGAAGAGCAATGATATCAGAGGACAGGCCAGAGGGCCACTGGTAGTGCAATGATGTGACCCCGTGGACAGCTCAGGAACAAATAAATCCCGGCTCCGTCCATGACAGCTGCATGTCCCCGGGGACACTGAGTTCCCCATCTGCAAAGTGGGAGGATTAGGAAAATACCGACCTCACGGGCTGTTGTGGGCAGAGATGGAAGCTACGGGTGTCAAGGCCTAGCCGCAGCCCTCAGCCACCGCAGTCCCTGTGAGGGAAGCGAGTCCTCCGTGTCTGATTGAGAGAGCGGGAGCCGGCCCTACCTGGATGGCCCTGGGAGCCCCACAGGGCTGCGGGCTCCAACCCTTGGCCCCTGCTGGCTGTTCTCCACACGACATTAGTGGGATCCATTTGAAACCTGGGTGGCACCAAGTCTCTCTCCCACTCAAACCTGCCCCTGTTCCCACACCACTCAGTGGAGCCCAGGTCCCTATGTGGCTGGTGGTGGCAGGTGGCCGTGTGATCTGAGCCTGGCGCATCTCGAAGCGCTGCCCAGGGCCTCTGCACCAGCCGTGCCCTTTGCCAGGATGTGCCTCTGCCGCCTCTTTTGAGCCTGTGCTCCATGGGTCCTTCACTGCCCACCCGTTTAATATGTAGCCTGCACCCCAGACCTGCACTCCTGGGGCCCCTTTTCCGTTCCCAGAACACTGATCACCATGGAACATTCCACTCCGCTAACCTGGCTGACGGGTCCCTTGCTCACGGCCTGTCTCCCCACCAAGAACGGGCGCGCGGATGGGAGGCATCTTGGTCTGGACTGGTTTCTGCCCTGCCTTCTACTCCCCCTACCTCAGCTCCCTGGCCCTCCCTGCCCACTACCAGGCCCCGCAGGAGGGCACTCACCCTTCAGGATGGTGATGTTAATGTAGGGCCTGACCTCAGGCAGGGCGTGCGGGAGGACGGAGGAAGAGGCTGCAGACACATGGTCAGGCACCAGGGGGTCCTCAGGGTCACAGCACCGTCGGCAGCCGCTGGCCACAGCTCTGTCCAAGGTGAGCTCCACTGCAGGGGCCTCACACATCAGGAGAAAGAGCAGGAGCACTGCCGAGAGGGAATCCAGGGTGGCTGTCCCCATGGTGACCTGGAACAAGGAAGGAGGGACAGGAACTGAATTTCACTCAACATCTACAATGTGCAGATGCCCGGGGTGGGCGGGTGCCGCCTCCCTCAGCCAGAGGGATCCTGACCTAACGCAGGAAGGAAGGTTATTGTCCCCATTTATCAGACAAGAAGACTGAGACCTCTGCAGATCAGCAAGCTCCCCGAGACCAGGAACGGACTGTGGCAGAGCAGGGCCTGGATGCTAAGTCTCCCGGCACCCAGTCCACGGAGGCTTCTGCCCCACACAGGTCTGGGAAGGAGAAGCCCCTCTGAAGACAGTCACAGCTGACAGCAGAAAGGGATCCCAGTAGGCCTTTGCCGGGGCAGGTGAGAAGACGCTCTAGCTGCCCATGGCTGGCAACCCAGGAGACCGTCCAATGCTCTCCCGCCCTTGCACCTCCCTCTGGCATTGTCTTGCCATGGACTCCACTATCGCTAGCAAACACGTGTACCCCGACCCCCAGCAGGAGGACAGAGGTTAGTGGACATGGGAAACAAACATGAAGGGCTCTGCAGGCTTTTCTCAGGGGGGGACAGGTGGCCGGGCCCATGCTTTGATGTGATAACACCACACAGTCCTGCCAAAAGAGACAGGAGAGTTCGTTTATCCTAGCAGACAGAGAGCGACGTCCATGAGAGCATGAGGGGTGGTGTGTGGTGACGGTGTCATTGCATTGCTGAGCAGTCAGGAGAAGGCATACTGGGGCCTGACTGCAGGCCATTGCTAGCCTTTAGAGTGCCTTTGTGCAAAGTGAAGAAGGTGCCCTCTGGACAAATTAGAAATGATGAGTCCCCTTTGGAGAGAAGCAATGCTGCGGGTGTGCAGCTTGGCAAGGGCTGGCGCTAGCCCACCACCCTGCTCAGCACCTTTGTGCAGTTAACAACCTATGCAGCCCAACCTTATCCAGAAGCCCTGCAGGGAAGGCTCTGGAGAGAGTTCATTCATTGGGGCCAGGCGCGGTGGCTCACACCTGTAATCCCAGCACTTTGGGAGGCTAAGGCAGGCAGATCATGAGGTCAGGAGTTCAAGACAGTTTGGCCAATATGGTGAAACCCTGTCTTTACTAAAACTACAACAACGAAAAATTATCCAGGCGTGGTGGTGCATTCCTATAGTCCCAGCTACTCAGAAGGCTGAGGCGGGAGAATCACTTGAACCTGGGAGGCGGAGGATGCAGTGAGCCGAGATTGCACCACTGCACTCCAGCCTGGGCGACAGAGCAAGACGGTCTCAAAATAAAAAATCATTGGAAGTTGGTTGTGTCAATCTTTGTAGCCCTCCAATCAGATGCCATGGTCGTAGATTGGAATTAAGAGGTAGGACTAGGAGGTCTGAAAAATTCTAAAGGATCAGAAAGTGCAAGTGCTGCTGAGGTTCTGTCTCTGGCCTCAGCCAGGAAAGGGTCCAGGGTTCCAGGAGAGAGGCAGGAAGTAGCCTGGACACCAGGCACTAGAGACAGGCCTGGGTTGGGTGGGCAGGAAGCCGGGCAAAGACCTTTGAGGTGGTGCAGCTTCTGGGGGCTGGCGCTGAGTTATCGCAGGATCAGAAACTCTGCTTTGAAATCAGACTGGTTTTTACACTTCTGGCGTTTCTTGTTTATTTCCTTTTTGCTCTCCTTTAACATTTAGTAGAATTCAAAAATATTTTTTCTGTGGTTAATACATGTAGAGAAGGTACAATTATTACTTTGTAAAATGCCACCCGATCTCAGCTGAGCACGGAGGTGACGGCAGAGTTTTAAAGGGACAGGATGGCCAGGTGCAGTGAGTTTTCCTGCAATCCCAGCACTTTGGGAGGCCGAGGCAAGAGGATCACTTGAGTGCCAGAGTTCGAGACCAGTCTAGGCAACATAGTGGGACCGTCTCTACTTTTCAAAAATTAAAATGAAAAATAAATAAAGAGGCAGGATCCCTGCCCCACCCCCAGAGCTGGGTGGTAGCAGCAGGAGAAGGGGGGTGGGCAGGAAGTCTCCAGAGCCACCTCCCTCTTCCTCGAGGTGACCCTTCCCAAGCTCCTCTCTGCCCACCCTGGTTGGGTTCCCGGTTCTGCTCACTAAGGAAGTCAAATCCTCAGAGATCAACATCCTCCCTGTCTGAAACTACCGAATCCTCTACTTTTGCTTATAAATGACAAATCCCAGTGGCTTTGAGAAGAGCAACATTTCCTTCCTTTTCCCAGCTATAGATATAACCTCATGAGAAAAGCTGAGGTCTTGGAGTCAGATCTGAGACCCAGAACAGTTTGCAAGTTGTGTGATCTAGGGCTAGCAGCTGAACGTCTCTGGGCTTCCTACTCCTTGACACTTACAAGATGACACCACCATCTCCTTCCCAGGAAGGACTTCAATGCAGGGAAAGTGCTACCTTGTAAAAGACTTAAAAAAAAAACAACAAAAAGTGTGCTCCCATCTCTTCCCTGTGCCTGCATGGGATGGGAAGGAGAACTTCTCCCAGAGGATTGGCATGGTTTGGGAGCATTTCTGATTCCTATTGGCCCCAGCCAGATGGGAGTCAAAAGCTGTAAGACAGAACCGTGGCCTGGGAGCAGGAATCAGGAAGCTGTTAACGAGGAAGAATAACCAGAGCAAGGATCACAAACTAGCTCTGGGGGAGGGTGCCGGGCAGGGACCCAGTGTGGGGACCAAGCCGCAGGGAGGACTTTTGGGGTCCTTACCGCTTCCACTGGGGAGCTGGGAACTCTTTGGGGAGAGAACGGGAAGGCAACTTTTCTCAGTCCAGGCAGGCTATGCAGAGCTGAGTTTGTGTGTGCCCGGGCAATGCTGTGCCCGGGCAGGGGCAGGCAAAAGCTGGGAGCAGCGGAGGAAATGTGGAGGGAGACCCTGGAGAGGCTGTCCCAGTCACAGGGAGAGAGCAGGGCCCCAGATGCTTCCAGGAAGCAAGGAGGGAAGAGAGGAATTCCAGGCTCTGACCGCAGCCCCCAAGCTGAGGAGCCTCTGGTCACTCACCCTGTGTCCTGTGGCCTCCCCTGGCGACTCACGGACCCTGAGCCACTGCATGGCCTCTGATTCCTTGGCCCATGTCTGCAATACTAACTTGTTGCTGGCCCAGACCCCCAGGCTCCGCAGAGGAGGGAGAGAGGAGGGGATGGAGGGAGAAAGGGTGGAGGGAGGGAGGGCGGAGGGAGCGGGCAGAGCCGCTTCCCACTTCCCCTCCTCCCTCCTCCCTCCCCTCAGCCTCTGGGTTCTGGGAGATAAAGGGAGACAGGGATTTCCTTTGCTTAACTCTTTGGTGATCCAGTGGAGTCTTGTTTTATTCAAAGCCCTAAAAAGTCAGAGCAGGAAGGAGTCCGAGGCCCCCTGATGATTGGGACGCTGACACAGGGATGGGGCACAAGAGCCCCAAAGTTGTTCAATAAGGTTGAATCCAGCCTGAGCTAAAGTGCTCAATTGCTCTGAGTCACAGAGGCAGGGTGGGTACCAGAAAAGGTGCAGGTGTTGGCCCTCCAGCCACAGGCTAGAACCTGGCCCTGCTATCTGCGATGTGGACAGACACATTGTCTCTGCGTTCCAGAACTGCGGTCCTCAGCTCCCTTTGTGCCAGACACATGGGAGGGCTTCATCCGGGTTTGCTGGGTGAATGAGCAGGCTGATCGCCTCAGGTATCACGCAGGTGTTAGAAAGGAGTCCTGATCCAGCCCCCAAGAGGTGATTCTTAGATCTTGCACCAGAAAGAACGTGAGGCAAGCCCACAGAACCGAAGTGAAAGCAAGCATATTAGAGAAGCAAAGAAACAAAAGAATAGCTGATCCAGAGGCAGAGCACCCCAAGCACTGCTAGCTGGCTATTTTTATGGTTATTTCTTGATGTATGCTAAACAAAGGGTGGATTATTCATGAGTTTTCCAGGAAAGGGGTGGGGATTTCCTGAAGCTGAGGGTTCCTCCTTTTTTTAGACCATATAGGGTGATTTCCAGACATTGCCACGGTATTTGTAACTGTCATGGTGCTGGCAGAAGTGTCTTTTAGCATGCGGATGCATTATAAGTAACATACAATGAGCAATAAGGATGACCAGAGGTCACTGTCATTACCATCTTAGATGTGGCAGGTTGTTTACCTCATCCTGTTTATCAGCAGGGTGTTTATGACCTCTATCTTAACATACCAGTCCTGCCAACTTCCTAGGTCTTCCTGTGACAAAGAATGCCTACCCTCCTGGGAATGCAGCCCAGGAGGTCTCAGCCTCATTTTACCCAGCCCCTATTTAAGATGGAGATGCCCTGTTTCTTCCCTACTCTCTTTTACAAGGGAATCCTTAATCTAAAGAGACAAAGATCCAAGATTAATATGTGTTCAATTTAAGAAAGCTTTGAGTAAGCTTATCTCCTTGTTTTATACTCCTTATAGGAGCATACTTTATTCAACTGTTAAAAGCTGAAAATAGCTCAAAAAGAGGGGGTTTCTTGACTGTGAAAAACAAAACAGAAAGATCAACGTTTCAAGCAAAAAGTCATAAAAGATTACTTCAGTCTTTTATTAGTTCAGTCTATGCAATTAATTCCTGTTTTGTTTGATATATATATGTTAGTTTTCCCAGAGAGTCTTGGATGTTGTTTTCTTTCTCCCTGCATTTAAAAGTACTCATCAAAGTCCTACAGCTGATTATAAACCTCCTTTTTAAGAGGAAAAAAACAGATAATGAAAAGACAATTGTCTATGCATGACAAAAAGGCTTAGGGCAGCCATGATTAAAGAAATTAATATCACTGAGTAGGAAATTTGGATAACTCTGTGGCACACAATAACTTAACATAACAATTATAATTATTATTAATAATGTACATTAATTCATATCAGAATTATAGGAGTTTCCCATAATTTTGGAACACATAACAAGAACATAGTTATATACAAATACAGCCCAAAGAAAGCCAAACATGATTTCATACTTGACAATGTTTCCTGTATTATTTTAATGTACCAAATAAGCCAAATATGTCATCTTTGGACTTAAGGGGGCCTAATATCTAAAGGACTAATCAGCTTAGAAAAAGACATAACTTAGAACTTGATTTTGAAAAGTTGGTCAAATATCAAAAATTTAAAACATTTGATAGTATAAAATAGCATCCCAGGTCACCATAAGTCATTTATTTGGCCAAAACAACTCAAATATGTTTTTAAAGGCAAAAACCTTTACTCACTGTTTTTCTTCTCTTTCTTTTTTGGGAAGAAAGTCTTCAGGAATACTTAGCTTCCCCACTCCCCCCCCTCAAAAAAAACCTGTCTCTTTTCTTTCCCTTCGTTTTTCTATAGCTTATTCAAAAGGCAAACAAAAATCTTTAATTATTTTTCAGCAACACATGAAAATCTTGTTCAAAAGAGAAAGTCAAATTTTACCTTTGCATTTGTGTGCTATTAATGTCAAACTCAATTCATAATAAAGCCTTATGGACAACTCTAACCAATTTTAATGTTTGACCATGAAGTAAGATTCTCATAAACCTTTTATAGCTCTTTACAATTTTCTTGTTAAAGAGTATACCAGTACTCTAAGAAAACCCCGTTACACTTTTATTCCATATTAAATTTATGAAAAAACTGAATAATATCCCTTTAACGTTAGCCAATAGATTCACACAGAATTTCTTTTACAAGATTAATCTTTCACAGACCTTCCACAACTTGCTCAAACCGTCAGCTTTATCCTACCTAACTTAAAACAATCCTTTAGCCCTCTAAAGTGGGGGAAACAAATCCACATTCTCATGCTTTCTTCCAGTCTTCTTACCAAAAGTACATTCTACTTTCCTTACACACCTTGCATATATAACTGTTTGTCCAGTAGTCTCAATTACATATGTTACAATGTTAACTCTTAGCAACTTTTATTTTTGGCAAAAAACCTGGTAAGTAAGCCGTTTAAATTATGTTCCAAGTGTGGAGCCTAGGACACCAGGCAGAAGGGCAGATAAGGTCTGACTCTTCCCAGTATAGCTGGGGGCATGGCTAACTTGACAAGTCCAAGGCCTTATCTAGAATCTAATGACCCCAAAGCAGGTAAGCTGGACAATTTTCAAAAGTCAATGATGCAGTTTATGACCTTGAAGCTTTTAGCATACCTAATATCTGACCTGCCTAATTTAGACTAAATATCTAAATTTTGAAGATATTTTAATTTTACCAGTAATCTTTAAAACTGTCTTTATTTCCCAAAGATTATTAAAGTCATGTGAACCAAAAGGTGTTACTGTTTCTATTTTTCCTGACAAAATATTTGATTTAAGCACTTATTATTTGTAAGCCAATTAATCAGAGCTTTTTCATATATCAACATCACACACACAACACATATAAATACACAGACAGAAGATCCAGTAGTTGTAAGATTTTTCATTTGCCAGTTTTTAAGTTTCTTAATTCGATTACTGACTTCAGGGTGGAGCCCTTTAAGGAACAGGGCCAGGAAACCCTGCAGTTTCTAAGGCCTAATAAGTAGGCACAGCCGAAGGCAAAACAGATGCCCAAAATGAAAGAGTCCCATTTTTATATTGGATTCTGGATCCCAAAGAGAGGGAATCAGCCCATCCCGCATGGGAGTCTTATCTCTCAATGGAGGCTGGGGACGCTTCTATACCTTCTAGGTGGCCAAGAGCATGATTTTCTGATCCAAATGTGCAAAGGGCCAAGTACCCCCCCATAGCTGCCATTAGCCATCCCTAAAACTGTATTTCCCACCTAGTTATTATATAGCAAGGCTAAAAGCTGTCTTACAATGCAAACTAATTTCTGATATCCCCAAAAGTCACAACTGTCAGATAACACAATGTGAAATAGAACAGAGCCTTAGGTTTCGGGAGGGGTCTATCTGCTTTCAGTTCCTAGGGGTCCATGAGGAAAATAGAGGTGTCTCCCAAAATGGGGTCTGTGGCACCTCCTGTTTTTCCCAAGGAGTCCCAGGCTATTAAAATTTATCTTAGGTCCTCTCAGATGGGGCATCAAGAGTGTCAAGAAAACAAAATGGAGAAAATAATTCAGTTGACTGAAAAGAAAAACTTTTTTCAGAAAAATAAGATCTAAGAAGAGAAAACAAACCATAAAGGCCTTTTCAACGTATGTATAGCTTGGATATCCATTTTTAATTAAGCTGACTTTTAACCAAATCTTGTTACCAGACTCCAGCCAGGACAAACAGCCAATATTTCTGGCTTTTGAACTTCACAAACAGTAGCCTCCCAGATGAAACCAGTAAGCTTTAACTAAGGTTATGACTTAACCCAGGTATATGAGGTATTTTCAAAGAGGTGATAAGCAGTTTTTACCAGATCTAGACTCACCAAAGATAGCTCAGAGAAAGAAAATTCAAATGAGAAGTCAGAAGCTGTTTATGGAGGGGAAGAGAATCAATAAATGGCAAAGGTCACATAGATATTAAACCAGAAAGGACTCATTCCCTAAGGTGAGAATTGAACCTGGGTCCCCACTGTGAAAAGACAAAGCCTTAGCTTCTGAGCCACAGAGCTGGATAGCTTCTGTTGTTTTTCCTCGAAGGAGACTAGAGAAGCCCATTTCAAGCTTACAAAGGCTGTCAACTGCTCAGGATAATTTTTACAGCTATCACGTGAACCTCCAGCTTCCTGTCCTCTGGATGAAGGAGACTAAGAGAAAGAACTCCCACATGGTCACAAAGTTAAAATCCCAAGGACATAAAACAAACAAGACAGAAACCTCATGCAGTTTTTATTTCAGGGACCTGCCACAAAGTTTGTAACTGACCGGTTTGCTGGGCCAACTTGAATAATAGGCTTATAGGGGTCCTAGGCCTATCCTACAGTACCTCTTTTTAGGACAGGTTGACACAGAAAGATAAATTCACAGCACAAAGTACAACAGATTCCCTAGAGCTTAAGACTAGCCTCCACAAATCCTTTTTCTTTCTTTTTATTTTTATTTATGTATTTATTTATTTTTGAGACAGGGTCTTGCTCTGTAGCCCAGGCTGGAGTGCAGTGGTGCGATCTTGGCTCACTGCAACCTCCCAGGTTCCAGTTCAAGCAACTCTCCTGCCTCAGCCTCTCAAGTAGCTGGGATTACATGCCTAGCTAATTTTTGTATTTTTAGTAGAGACAGGGTTTCACCATGTTGGCCAGGCTGTTCTTGAACTCATGACGTCGTGATCTACCTGCCCCCGCCTCTCAACGTGCTGGGATTACAGGTGTGAGCCACCGTGCCCGGCCACCTTTTTCTTATTCCTCAAATTCCTTGCAGGAGAGACAGTGATTTTGTATCATTTATTCAACCAGTTTGCACAAAGAAAGGGAGGCCAGAAGCCTGACTGGTAAGAAATTCTTACCCTTTACCAGCATGCCAGGCTTCTGGGTTCCCTTTCTCTGTGTGGCTTTGACGGCCCTGCTTGCTGTACCATTGCTATGGGGGCCAAGCCACATTACAAAAGAAAATTGTCTTTTCCATTTCATGGAACCACAGGCAAAAGCCTCTGAATTTTGTAAGATGCCGCCCAACTGCATGGGGAAACCCAATTAACATTAATATTTCCCCTTCCCGGTCACCAGCTGCCTCAGTCAGTGCCCAACATCAACCTGGCAAGGCTCAAACTTGTCCCCAATGGCCCTTGTCATCTGCAATCCTCTCTAAGTGGGGTAGAATGGCCTCCAACCAGGAATTTCAACATGTGGTCTCTGGGCACGATGGAAGAGTGGACAGTCACCCTGAGTGACAGAAAGGATAGGAAAGAGAAAGGAAAGGGGAAGAAAAGCATTGCCTGCCAGAAGGTGGAGAAGGCCAGCAGCTAAGGGAGGCTAGGGGAAGAACCACCCATTCCGTCGACACTGGATGGGAGGTTCAGGCGGTCGCTTGTCAGTAGCGAAGGTATCTTTTCCAGCGATCCCATCGGTTCTGAAGTTGCCCCCTTTAGGGAGAAGAAAGCTCCCCACGTCCCATGATCCTGTACATGCCTAATCCTGTCACCCACAGCTGTCAGCAAACAGTACAAGGCAGATTAATCCAAAGACAATAGGGCTTTCATTTCTCCTCACCAAGGCACTTTATCAAGGGGGACCTCTAGCCCCCTAAATCTTAGGAAAGACTCCAACCTTCTGAAGTTGGGCCTCTAACCCAATTTCTGACAACCATCCTTGCCCTTTACTAAGAGGGGCCCTTAACCCCTATTTCTTAGGCGGGACGCTAAACCAAATCCGTACTTGACGCAGGATAAAATACCCCACTGCTTACCCAAGGTCGGACAATCAGTGCTGTAGTCTGTTTCCTCTGGGTCGGTGGTTTCTCTGGTATCGTCCCTTCGTGGTTCACCAGAAAAATGATACTAGAAAGGGGTCCCGATCCAGACCCCAAAAGAGGGTTCCTGGACTCTCACAAGAAAGAATTTGAGGTGAGTCCACAGAGTAAAGTGAAAGCGAGTTTATTGGAGAAGTAAAGAAACAAAAGAATGGCTACTCCATAGGATGAGCACCCTGAGGGCTGCTGGTTGGCTATTTTTATGACTATTTCTTGACTAGATGCTAAACTAAGAGGGGGATTATTAATGTTTTCCAAGAAAGGGGAGGGCATTTTCCCAGAACTGAGACCTCTTCTCCCTTTTAGACTGCATAAGGTAATTTTTGGACATTGCCCTGGCATTTGTAAACTGTCATGGTGCCGGTGGGAGTATTATAATTAGTGTATAATGAGCCAGGAGAACGACCAGAGGTGACTTTCATCACCACCTTGGATTTGCTGGGTTTTGGCAGGCTTGTAGACCACATCCTGTTTACCAGCAGGGTATTTATGACCTGTACCTTGTGAAACCAGTCCTGCTGACCTCCTATCTCATCCTAAAAATGACTAAAAGGAGGAATAATGCCTAACCTCCTGGGAGTGCAGCCCAGCAGGTCTCAGCCTCATTTTACTCAGCCCCTAGTCAAGATGGAGTCGCTCTGGTTCTAACGCGTCTGACACAGGGCCAGGGCAGCAGCCAGGTCGCTTCCCCATGCCCCAGCCCCAGCTACCAAAGTCGTCTTCCCCTGACTGCAGTCCTGCCCTTGTTACTGACTCATCCTGGTCTTCTAGAACTGTTCCCCTGTGGAAGTTCATAGGAGGGTACCCTGTGTACCTCTGGGTCTGGGCAGGGTCCTGCCTCAGTTTCCTTTTTGTTAGGCTGAAGTTGGGCAAAGACTCTCTGCCCTGGCTTCCTGGGGCCCAGGACTCCTGTATAAAGATGGCCTCAAATGTCCCTTGCCCTTCCCCAAGGGATCTGGTGGGTTCTGGCTGGCTTGTTTACTGCATATTCCTGTTCTACATTTGTTGGGGACTTCTGCCTGAGCCAGGTCTCATCTCTCTAGGAGCTTTTGGCCCCCAAAGGGTGCTTATATCCATTACTTCAACTAGTCCTAGGGAGCTGGAGTCAGGCTGCTAAAGTGATTTGCCCAAGGTCACATACCTGGTGGAGAGGAGCAAAGCCCCCCTACAGAACAGAAGACTCACCAACCTGACAGAGTTCCCTCGGGGCTTGGGCATGGGCATGGAGCAAAGCTCGAAGATCAGGGCCATCCCCAGGAGGAGGAAGGTGCAGGAGTACAAGGACCCCAGGGGGAGGGGATATATTTAAACCGAGGACTTTGGGTGCTAAAGCCCAGTCCCCACTCACAGCTGGACAAAACGTGGAGGACAGGATAGCCTCTGGGCTGTGTGTCCTCAACCAGGACTCATCCTTGGGCCTCCAATTTCCAATGTATTTGGGTGATAATCAAACAGAAGAATATGAAGCCTGGAGAGATCCTCAGAGATGATCTCATCTGATTCTTTCATCTGACCAGCAGGGACATTGTGGCCCAGGGAGGATTTCTCTTTGGCTCAAAGGTCAAGTAGCAGACGAGTCCAAGCTGGGATGACAGCCAGACCCTCCTAACCTCCAGCCTTGTGGTGTTGCCCCTCCCAAACCAACTTGGAATCCCCCAGGTCATCCATTCAGGGGTGCAAAGGGGCCCCAAGGAAAGCAGACTGAAGGACTGTGGCTGCTGGGAACACCCAAAGGCCTGTACTGACCCTGCCCTCTACGTGGCCCTGCCTTAGGCAGCATTCCCAGGGCGCAGAGCCACAGCTGCAGACACAGGGAGCCAAGGGGAGCCTCCCTCCCTGCAGCCTCTAAGGAAAAAGGGTTCAGTCGGCAGCACTGGAGAAAGAGACAGCTCCTGGCTGGCTCCAAGCCTTGGGGCTTAGAAAACTGACCTTCTGAGGAAAGGGGGATGGAGAGAAAGATCGATGGGACTTGGGGAAAAACAGGCTGGGGACACAGGAATGGTTTTGTCAAGGGCCAACTGTGTGCCTGGCAGCACATCCCATGCCGCCCTCAAGAGCTCCTCAGCAGGGAAGAGCTGCTTACCCCACTGCACAGGTCAGGAGGCTGAGGTCTGGAAAGGCAGGCAGCTCACCAGGTTCCAGGGCCACCTCACTTGGCTCCCAGGGCACGCAATGCCCCAGAGAAGGGCCTCCTGTTCCTCTAGGTGCAGGGCAGCCGGCTGGAGTCAGAGCAGGCAAGAGAGCAGAACTCTGGAACATTACACTTCAGTATTTTCCCTCCCACTTGCTTTCACCAGGCCTGAAAATTCCTCCATTCACGCGTCATCCCTTGGTGTCCCAGCCTTTCTGAAGATCTCCTCAGCTGGTCAGGTGGCCTGGAAACAAAGCTGCAGCCCTGGGGCAGAAAAACCTGGATGATGAGTCAGTTCCCCTCCCAGATGTATGACCTTGGGCAAATTTACCTCTCTGAGCCTTGGTGTGCCTGGGCCAGATAAACATGGGGCGGCCAGGACCATGTGAGCTGACTGGTGGAATGTGCAACGGGGGCACTCCCCACTGGTCACCCATCAGTAAGGGGTGTGTGCCCTTTCTCAGGTACCCTAGGACCCAGGACAACATAATGACCAGGAGGAGTGTGGGCCCAGGGTGGCTCTCATCACCCTGCTATCACCCCCAGCAGCAAAGGAGGAACCCCAATGCAGAAAGCCAGGGTATGGGCCCTTCCCCCAGGCACCTCCACCGTTTCCCCTAGCCCTAAGACGGAGGGCTTTGGCCCCACCCATTCTGCGGGCCTTCCATGTCTTGACTCCTCTAATCCTTCCAACAATGCTCTGAGGTAGGCACACGTGTTAACTCATCCGTCTATTTTACCGAGGAGATAGATGAAGCACAGACTGACACAGCAGGATGTGGTCAACAAGCCTGCTAAAACCCTGGCCACCATCCTGCACTCGCCCACGTTACAGCCCGGGGTCAGGAGAGGATGTGAAAATAGGCACATTCGAGCCAGTGCTTACAAAGCACCGCGCGCTTCATATACTTAAAAAATAAAATGTGTGCCTGTCAGAAAAGCAGACAGGACAGTAAACATGATGATTCCTGGCTTCTGCTATGGAGGCTGTGAGTGGTCAGTCACAGATCTAATTGTTCTAGTGCAGAGATCAATTTCAACAAAGGAAGACGCCAGCGCCTCCTGCTGGGCAGAGTCGCCGGCCCGGGAACCTGGGAGGCTACCCGGCCCCGGCCCCCGGCCCCCCACTGTCCCGCTAGCCCGTCCCACCAGCCTGTCCCCTCCTCAGGGAACTTTGGGGCAGGCCGGGGCGCCAGGCACTCGCTTCTTCCTCCAAACCCCCGCAGTCCCCGCAGCACCCCCCAACACACACCGGCTTCCTCCCGCGGGCACAGCCCCAGGTCTTGTTCTATCGAATCCCCCACGTTGACCCGTCCAGGGGCGGGGTAAAGTTTCGCTCTCCGGACCCAGTTTCCCCCTCCTGGGCTTTCAGTAGCGAGCGTCGGATCCCAAAGGTGTTCAGCGGAGTTGGGCGGTCTGTCAGGTTTTACAAAAGGGGAAACTGAGTCAGGAGAGCGCCAGCGCCGCACCAGGCACTCGGTCCCAGC